GAGGAAAATTATACTCTTCGCCAATCTGCTGTCATCAGCTGTAAAAAGTTAAGAAACACGCCTAGTGTGTTTTCATAAGGATTCGAATTACACTTGATACGATTATCTTTGAATTAATCTCTGAATTACTAAAACCTTCAGGTCCATTTGACCGGATTGTCAAATCATCGCCTTATCGTACTTGGCATTCCTTTTGTCATTCATAATTTGCGTACACGAACTTTCTCAAATGCTCTACATGCTCCTACAGGGTTAGACCGTTATATCTGATTTATGATGAAGAGCCGTTGTTCAAGTTTTTCGGACACCCAGTATATGTATGCCACATCTCTTGGAACACCACCCATTCAAAATTTCTTCTGCTCATAGGCAATTAATCGACTACATCTATGGAAATTCGCTCGAATAGCGAATTTGAGTTATACTGCCTCATTTGGCAATGACTTCTGGATTTAGGCCCTTTAGCTGCAATCCACTCCGCACAGTTAGTAATCCACTTAGCGGTCGACTGACGACAACCAACCCAATTGATTCCCAGGTGCCCTCCACAGGGGCCATTGTGAAATTCCTTGAGAACGTCCGGAATTCTTCAATTGGTCAATGGCAAATTAATAGTTTTGCCGTCTCTCTATCCACCAATCTAACTGTACTTCTGTATTTTTAAATTGTAGTAGACACTTTGGCGCTGCAGGATTCGTTCGAACTCGAAAACGTAGCCCATAGAGGTACTTGTGGAAACGTTTGGTGCACTCCACCAACACTACTCTCCGAACTACACAGTGGTTTCTCTCTGGTCTTACAATCGAACGGCTATAGCAGGCAACTACCTTCCCTTGCTCATCAATTACCTGCGGATAACCTCTGAAACCATGCACGCTAGCATAGGCGCAGGCCTTCAGGGATTGGAAGGCTACTTCCTGTTCTTTGTTTCAGTCGAAATATTTACATTTCCTAGTGTACACAGGGAGCTCCTTAGCAACGCTGGTAAAATTCGGAACAAATCGGCGATAAAAAGTGCATAGCTCAAAAAAACCCCGTATTTCATGCAAGTGCCTAGGTCTCTGCTTATCTTTTACTACTTTCCCTATCTTTTCCGAAGCACTGTAGATGCTCTAATTCACCTCCTTCACTTTTAAAGACTTAGTTTAAGACCATTTCATGCCAGTCAGCGAGTACAGAGTACCATCGATTCTAGCTGTCCTTCTTCGTCACATAATTTAGTTTCCGGTAGTCCACGCAGAACCGCATCTGATCATCATTCCTCTTCACAAGTTCTACCAGCAAACGCCATGCTTTATGCTTGCGCTGATGTTAAAGCTTTTTAGGATCTCTTTGCTTTTCTGACATCGGCCTGCCACAATTGGCTCTGCTTATCCCACTTCAGCTCAGCCGGAAAATCAGGGAGTCTTATGAAATATGAAATGAAGTGAGTAAGGAGCCGTCCGCCTTACCTAAGCGTAGTCCACGCTACTTATTTTAGTGTACTCTTATACATTAATACGCAAACATGATTTTTGTGGTACACTGTTTTTTTTTTTAATGAAACTCATATCAAATGAAAGATGAGTTGGTGTAGATGTGCCGCATTTGGCCCTTAACCCTCTAAGAGCCACTTTGACTGAAATATTAAAAAAAAACTATTTAAAGTCCTGATTGGTACAAGTTCAACCCGAATATCAGTTAGAGAAGCAACATGTCATCTTATATATTAATACGCAATCGAATTCCAATAAAAATCTACTTCTAATTTCTGTTCCTATAAATTATTAAATTATATAACAGCATGTATATCACTTCACCTAAGAATATTAGTGATCTACACGAACAACATAAAAAATTCCACAAACGAGATAAAAAAAGTGTACGGACCCTGTAGTCAAATGCACTAGTTGAAAACTACTTAACAACTAGTATGAACCGCATGCCCAACTAGTCAGCCAACTATCTTTTTTCCATACAAGCAACTGGTATTTTTAACATGGGGATGTCCTACGAGATGGCAATTGTCAGAGTTCATTCGGAAATATACCAGTCTCATACTAGTTCAAAATATACGGAAATATACTAGTCAAATTTTGGACCAAATATGCCAGTCTCATACTAGTTGAAAATAGACAGAAACATACTAGTCATACAAATTAACTTAAGAAACGGAACCCATTTCCAATCACTTTATTTTATGTACATACATATGTATATTCATTTACGTAATACATATAAACATAACTGAATATGTACTCGTTTTAATGGTTACAATAAAAGTAAATAAAAGTTATTTTTTGTGCACTTAATTTTATTAAAATGTTCAAGTAAAATAAAATATGACGTAAATAAATCGGGTTGTAATTGGTAAAAGTCCGGTCTTTTTCAGACTAGTTCGATTTAAGTCAGGAAATTCTAGTTGTAAACTAGTATTTTTTCTGACTAGTTTGGTGCTTCACTGCAGGGGCATAAGTGAAGTGGTCGACTTACGACCACTGGGCGATACTAGTCACGGACTACATGTCCAATAGCAATTGTAACTGTAACTGCACAATCGAATTCACTCTTACAATCCATTACATCCTTAGCACTCACTTTGGAAAAATAATTTCTTTTTAAATTTCTTGTGAACTGCCAGTTTGAAAATCACAATTTTGGAATTAGTATAAGTTTGAATGGCCAAAATATATCGACAATACTTTGCGGGCATGGCGGCAGCCGGAGGTGCGCTGGCATGTGGCGCCACAATTGGCTGGTCATCGCCAGTACAAGCCGAGTTGACTGGTGAAAACGATTATGGAATAACATTCTCGACAAACGAATACGCCTGGATTGGTTCTCTAATGACATTGGGCGCGGCAACTGTGTGTCTGCCCGTTGGCGTACTCATCACAATAATGGGCCCCAAATGGACAATGATGTTCATGGTCATACCCTTCGAGATCGGTTGGGCGCTAATGATATTTGCACAGAATCAAATAATGATGTATATTGCGCGCTTTTTAACGGGCATGGCAGGTGGTGCCTTTTGTGTTTGCGCGCCCATGTATTGCACAGAGATATCGCAAAAGGAGGTACGCGGTATTATTGGTAGCTTCTTTCAATTGCTCATCACTACCGGCGTGCTGTACGGCTTCGCGGTTGGTGCCTTCACAAAAGCCTTCTGGTTCAGCATCATATGCGCACTGCCACCGCTTGTATTCGCCATTGTGTTTATTTTTTGTCCAGATTCACCAGTATTTCTCGTGCGAAAAGGAAAGCTTGAACCAGCAATCAAATCAATGGAATGGTTGCGCGGCAAGGATGTCGATTTTAGCGCCGAATTGAATGAAATCAAAGCAAATCACGCAGAAATGAAAGAGAACCCAGTGAATTTGGGTAATGCGTTGTGTCGCAAAGTTACGCTCAAGGCATTTGGTCTGTCCGTATCGTTGATGGTACTCCAACAGTTCTCCGGCATTAATGCAGTGATTTTCTATTCGTCAAGTATCTTCCAATCGACTACCAGCAATTTGGAACCCAGATTTGGTACGATTATTATTGGTGTGATGTTGGTCGTGGCAACCGTTGTTTCGCTATTTATAATCGATAGATATGGTCGCGTTCCACTTTTACTGCTCTCGTCCGTTTTTCAAGTGATCTCTGTTGCCTGTCTCTCGCTTTATTTCTTCTTGAAGGAGAGTGATGAAAAGTCGGTGGAGAATTTAGGTTGGCTGCCGCTACTCAGTATTTGCATATATATTTTACTGTTCTCGGTTGGTTTTGGTCCGGTGCCATGGGTATTCATGGCGGAAGTTTTTCCGGATGATATCAAAGGTATTGCTGGGTCTCTGTCTGCCACAACCAATTGGGCGTGTGCTTTCATTGTGACTCAAGTTTTTCCCGTCTTAAATGATGCTATTGGCGGTGGTGCTTGTTTTGCCATCTTCGCTATCATATCGGCTGTGGGAGGTGTCTATATATTTTTCTTCATACCAGAGACCAAGGGAAAGACTTTTGCGGAGATCCAAGCCGAATTGGCTGGAGAGAATTGATCAGAAATGGGAAAAAGGCAGCTGAAGAGGAATATTCTATTGATATATCTCTGTATTGTTTTTTTTGTTTATTTGCAAATATACATAGGCCTTTTTTTACAAATCAACACTACATTCGCGAAAATTATTGATATACGTATGTGTATAAATACTTGTATTTCGGAAATAAAAAAATTATTTATGTTCAGTAAACATCATAACACTTCTCTTTCCTATTGATCCACATATAATCCTCAGCGCATCGTCTGTTGGAAAACAACGGAAACTGGGGTTTCTTGAGCCCAAGCTCATATTAAGACCCTCTTTTATCCTGAAATATCGGACAAGATACGCAGAACCAGATGTACAAACCTGGAGCTGTCAAACACGGACGGTTCCAAAATGGGGAAGTTCGATAAAAGTTCGCTAAAAGCTTTGCAAAAGCGGTTTTTTTTTTTTTTAAATAATTATAAACATTTATTAGTAAAATATTACGATTTTTTACACTTCACGAACATACCGAACGAAATGAGAGACGAACAGGGAGACAGAGCAAAGAGCACGAAGCGGAGAGTGATGAGCACTAGCATTTGCATGCCGTCTGCCTGTTTAGGCTCGTCCACATAGAACTTTGGCGTTGCGTTGGCGTTGGCGTCGCTTCAACAGCTGACTATGAATACATGAATTCAAATGCAGCCGTCCACATAGCCAAAATTCGACAACGCTCACGCCAACACAAAGCAAAAAGATGGCCAAGTCTCAACATTTTGCGTACGTCGCTCGTCAGCTGTTGCAAATAAATAAAATTATGTGTGTGGGCAAGAAATATCGTTTTTAATGCAATTATTAATATTGCCTGTCGTTGGTATATTATTTTAGTGGCCCAAGCATTTGCTTCCAAGCGTTCATTGTAGCAAGCATACTTTTCACGTGCGTTCTGTCAAACCAACGTCAACGCCAAAGCTAACGCGAAAGTTCTATGTGGACCGGCCTTTAAACCTAAATTCAGATTATAAGACCCTTTCTCGTCATTTGGTTATGCAGCCAACCGATGCGCCAGCTAGTCGCCTCCGGATAGTTGTACTTGCGATCGGGAGAATGTTCATAGCGTACCGCTAAGTAGGCACCACGCTGACCGTTCTTCAAGAGCTCACGCTCGCTGTCGGGTACCGTCTTCATTGGCCCCTTAAACGCACCCATAAATTTTGACTCATCCTTCGACAGATCGTAGGCGAAATCATTGGATTGTGTCAGTGGCTGACGCACGCGTGGCCCCGACGTTATTAACGAACGAAATGGTGACGTGCGACTGTTGGCGACATGTGTGTTGAAACGTTTATTGGCGAAAGCATTTTTGATAACTGTACTATTGGTACTGGTGCTGGTACAGCTCTTACTTGGTTTACTGTTGTTGCGATTGCTGGTCTGCCGACAGCTGTTGGTAGAACTGATGCTACTCGATGTTGAGTTGATGGAACGAGCGGTAGATGCACCAAAAGTTGTGGATGATCGGGTAAAGGGTGCGCTTTGAATTTTAATGGATTTTCTTGTGTTTTGACGCACGTTGATTGCTGTTGTTGTTTTTGGTACTTGCAATTTAGCCGACATCTCAAAAGGGGTAAATATTTATATAAGTACGTGCACACAAAAATTCAATGAAATATCTTTTAATAAAACGTTTGACAATTTTAAATATCAACAAATTTTAACGAATCCAATAAATCAATCACAATAGAGAATTTTTTAACGAAAATAGTGTTGGTGATTAGCAAGGAACGGATTTGTAGACCTAAAAACCTATAAAAAAGGCAAAATAAAATAACGAAATAGGCTAGAAATGACAAAATAATAGTGGGAACGATTAGAAATGGTGGGAGTTGATGAATTGTAAAAATTCTGGCTAAGATAGTTGACCGTCTTTTGCAAGACAATCGAAAGAGGTCGGCAACATAGCTTGAAAGACTTTGTTTATTCCGGCGTGAAATGTTTACAAAAAAAAAGAAAAGCTTACTAGCCAACTTTTACGATGAAAAGCTCTTTTGAGAGGAAGCACTTGAGTGGGTCCCAAATGGAAATGTATATCATTTTGCCCACGCTGCTCCAACAATCACAATGGCCTAGTGAGCAAAGCACTGGTGTGTCATCCGAGAGATTCGAGGTTCGAGTCCTCGGACAGCGAAATTTTTTTGCTTTCTTTAATTTAACGATTTTTTTTGTTAGTGCTGTGCCTATTTTAATTTAATTTTCTGTAACGGAGCACCAAATGAAGTTAGTGTACTATAAAAATATTCTGCTCTTCCTGAGTTTCGCCCGAAAAAAAATTCACCCGAAAACTAAATACATGGAAACCAAAACAGAACCGTTTCGGGGAAAATGAAACTTATTTGTATAAATTTTTGTTTAGATAAATAAATAAAAATAGAATAAACAATTAATTTATAGATTTAATTGTCTTAAAGATAAAAATCATTGTATATATACTTTTTAATTTTTTTTTAATTTTAGAAATTTATTTGATATTAATTTTAAATTTTTTAAAGTTCATTTTTTTTAATCACCAATCAGCCTTATCATAAGTTTCATTTTCCCCAAACCGCTTCACTTTTCACTTTTGGTTTACATGGTTTTACTACAGGCGGTTGACAAATTTTCGGGTGAGTTTTTTTTTCAGGCGAAACTCAGGATATTACAGCATATTTTTTATACCCGAGCGCACTTGTGCACAAGAGTATTATAACTTTGTTCACATAACGGTTGTTTGTAACAGGCAAAACGAATCGAGATAGATATAGACAAATGTATACATAAATGATCAGAATGAAAAGAGAAATCGATTAAGCGGTGACTGTCTGTCTGTCCGTCCGTCCGTCCGTCCGTCTGTGCACACGATAACTCGAGTAAAAATTGAGATATCTTAACGAAACTTGGTACGTGAACTTCTTTTGGGCGTGGGACGGATGGTATTGAAAATGGGCGAAATCGGATAATAACCACGCCTACCTCCCATATAACGGTAATTTTAAGAAATACGAAAACTGCGATATTTTAGTAACTACTGAAGATAATTCACTCAAAATTGATACTTACAATGAGTTTCAGACGGAAAACATGAATATTATAAATTTTTGGAAAATGGGCGTAGCCACGCCCACTTATGGTTACATGTGTATATCTTGGTAACCGCTACACCAATTTCTTCCAAACTTGGCACAGTTGTTGGTCCTGGTACAGCATACCAACTGGCCGAAAATTTCTAAAATCGGACAATAACCACGCCCACATCCCATATAACGGTAATTTCGAGAAATACAAAATCTTCGATAAATCAGTAAATATTGAAGCTAATTTATTCAAAATTGATGATTGCAACAATTCTTTACCAAGAAATACGTTTATGACAAAATTTTGGAAAATGGGCGTAGCACCGCCCACTTGTGATCACATATATGTATCTCGCTAACCGTTCTAGCAATTTGTACCAAGCTCGGTATGGTTATTGTGCTTGCCACATAAAAGCAAACCGTTGAAAATTGTTGAAATCGGACTAAAATTGAGGCCGCTTTTCATATAACGGTAAATTTCAGATATGCTTGAAACTGCAATATTTCGAAATTTAAGGACGCTAATTTACTTAAAATGTATACACCCCGGCTTATCATGTAGCGGTAGCTTTCGGAAAGGTGGAAAACATATACTTAATACTTGCGCCGGGTATTTAATGTTCGGCTCCGCCCGAACTTAGACTTTCTTACTTGTTTTTATTTCGTTTTCTACTCATATTTTTTTCTTATTTTTTAATAATTTCTTTTTTAAATTTAAATTTCTTTTCATATTTAGAATATATCATCTTAAAAAAAAAAATTATTATTATTATTTTTTTTTTAGTTTCGTTTAATTTTTAAAGAGGAATTTTAAGAGAATGTCAAGAGAATAAAACGAGAAAGCTGTTTAATTACTTCACCTGTTTTTAATTTCACCACTACCTTGAGACCGCATTCATTTCCAATCTGTTCTCTCAAATTTAGACTGATTTTAATTGCTTATTCATCCTTTTTCGTTTATTATTATTAATTTTTCTTTACAGAAGCAACATGTCTTACCTCTACAGCCATTGTGGTTGTCCGGTGACTTCACCACTCACACCTTCATTGGCCACCACCTGTGGTGGAAGCGCCTATGCACTTTTCATGGGTGTCCTTGAAGTATTCCTGCTCTCGCAATGCGATATCGAGGATCCCTGTGGTCGTGCCACGCCAAGAGTAAGTCTCAGCAGCAGAGTAAAGAAACACAAAACGTTAATACAAATTAAATGTTTTTTAATTATAAATTTTATTCTAGGTTTGCATGTTTTTAATTCAGAATGTTCCAATAATTTCATTTACTTTTCTCTCCCCCTCTCTCTCATACATGTGTCAGTTCCGTTCCGAGCCCGATAGTGCGTATGATTTTGTTGTGATTGGTGGCGGTACTGCTGGTTCGGCTGTTGCTGCGCGGCTCTCCGAAGTACCGCAGTGGACAGTTTTGCTCGTCGAAGCAGGTAAGTTTCTGCTAAACTATAGTACGAGTGTCAATGACTTTACGTATCCGAATAAATGCGTTTTTCAAGAAAATATTCAGCGGGTTGAAAAGAAACTTTTCCGTCAAAAAATAATTCTTGCTACTTAATGTGCGCTTAGGCGTGGCAATAGAGGTACTTTTTCAAAGCATTTTGCTCTCGAGTTGCTAAAACCACCATTCAAGTATAAACAGCCGATAAGTACTACTCGTTACTTCTCAGCAATTACTTTTAGAAATAAATCCTGGCAAGTTTTTATTGCAACTGAAAGGACGCAAAAATGCAAACATCAATTTAAGCTTGCACTTTTCTCGCGTTTGTGATACTAAAAAGATTTTAATACACTTGCAATTACTTTTCCAAATTTTTGCAATTGAAAGACTTTCCGAAATAAATATCATAGTTACGCCTAACGACACCTTTTAGCAATATCTATGAACTAATACAATAATGCAAGTGTGTATTATGGCCTTATTCATAAAAAATAAAGTAGGCTCTATAAAGTGAAATTTTCATAAAAATTTTCGATTTATAAAACAGTTAAAATCTTCTTTATTTTTTATGAATTTGGGTGTTAGTTTATACGTATGCTCTTGCGTATAAACAGCCCAGGGGTCAGTGTTGCCAGATTAGAAAAGTCAATTTCCAAAAAAAATTGTATTTTCAACAAAAAACTTTAACCTTAAAAAAAAAACGAAGATGTTTTTGGAAAGTTAAGGTCTTTAACAGCACAACTGACTAAATTTTAATTTAATTAAAAATTAAACGAGCGAACACCGCATTTCCAGCCCCCCATTTTGTCTTAAAAATTAACTTAAAACAAAACCGGAAGTTTTGAAAAAAACTGTAAATTTTGTTAGCGCTTAATTTAAAGAACTTTAATTTACATAAGCTGTGAGTATGGCGGTGACGCACAGAAGTATTTTCCATCGATTTTTTTACGATATTCAGAAGGTTTTTCACAGTAAATTTTTGTTGTTGATTTTTGTTAAAAAAAATTTTAAGGAAATTTCAGAAAATTGGTCAACAAATTTCAAACTTGTTAATATCTAAGATTTCTTAAAAAAAATTCGAGTGTGCAGTTTTATAGTCCATTAAATTTTAGAGCAAATTTAAAGTCGCTAAAAAATCCCGTTGATTTTTTTGGGGTATAAAAAAGTCGACCTGCATACGGCTTATTTACAACCAACTTCTAGCATTTGACCAACTGTTCGCCGATAAATCAATGAGTGTGTAGGGCCTTTAACGTTGCCACACTTAGTTTTGTAGCCTTTACAATGGGCTTACATGCCCAACTATTTACACCATTGTACGCTCTGAGCTTGAGCAATTCCTGCGACTGTTTGCAATTTTAGACAGCTGCAGAATTCATATTCCTTGCCAGTACTTTTACGATTAGTTTACAGTTAATCGATTAATATTCGATTAATGAAACACCAAACTACGATACAATTAAATCGTAACCTAGGCAAAAATAATCGATTAATTTAGTCAAATGATTAATCGCTGCCATACCTAGTGTATGAATTGTTTCTTTTGCTTATGTGTATTACAATTGCCATAAGCAGGGAATGGATTTTTAGGACCTAAAAACCTATAAAAAAGGCAAAATAGAATTATGAAATAGACTATAAAAGGCAAAATAAAATAGCGAAAAGGGCAAGAAAAGGCACTAGATACAGTAAAAGAAGGCAAATGAAGGTACTAAAAAAAAACAAAAACCTACTTTTTAGATCCCGAAAACTCGGGATTCTTGGAAAATAATTCCCGGATTTTCGGGATTTGTAAATTGCTCTGATGACAATAATATAGACGCCTTTTATTGACCAGTTTTGGCTAAATTATTATTTTTAATTAAAAATTAATATTTTTTTTTATGAACGTCTAGCTCATTATACATATAACACCGGGCGATAGTAAATTTTACGTACAAAAATCAATATATTCGCGAAATCATGTACCAAATATAGTAAAATTGCGATTTTACTTGTTCACTCTGACGTCAGTAATTCAAAAATGATTTCAATAATTAAGTGAAATGTGCTTAGAAAAG